TAAACATTATAGGTAAGGCTTGGGGGGAATGACTAAGAGGACCTTGAACCTGCTTGGAAAAACTGTGCGAGAATGGGTTTAAAAAAAGGGTTTTTTAAGGTTTGAGGCAACCCTGAGAATCCTATGCCAGTTGAGGAATCCATTGTGGCATTGGGGAAGTCCTTGGGGTTGGAGGTTAGTGAGGAGGATGTGGAAGAGTTGGTGGAGGACAATGAAGAACTAACCACTGATGAGCTGCTAGATCATCTTCATCAGCATGAGGCCAAACCTGAGGAAACTGCTTCGGAGGAGGGGAGAGAGAAATTGAAGAAGTTGCCTACTTCAAAGATAAAGGAAATGTGTGCAAAGTCGCTTGAAGTGCAAACCTTTTTTGATGAAAATCACCCTGACACAGCTACTGCAAGCCGTGCTGGTGACTATTACACTGACACCGTTGTGAACCACTTTAGGAAAGTCATAAAGGAACGAGAGGAACAGGCCTCTATGGACAGATATGTTGTGTGACAGAAGTCCAGTGACTTTGAAGATGGTCCTAGTGGCATTAAAAGAACAAGGGAAGTAACCCCAGAAAAAGACTTGCTGCCTCAAGTGCTAATGGAAGGGGATTCCCCTTCTAAACACTAACACCTCTCCCCTCCTCCCATCCCATCAATCATCACCAGATCTTCAATAAAGGTAAGTGTCATGTAACTGTGCATGTAATCTTCAGTTTGTGTGTATTAAAATTAATATTTCATGTGGTAAAAAAATTTTTTTTTCAATACTTTTGGGTGTCTTGCACGGATTAATTTGATTTCCATTATTTCTTATGGGGAAAATTAACTTGACTAACGATAATTCTGACTAACGATGAGCTCTCAGGATGGATTAATATCGCTGGTCGAGGGTCCACTGTATATTTATATACAGCCTTGGCACACGTCTCGACCCACAGACCATCCGCATCGGTGTTGCCCTTCAACTTGCCGCCCCTATTCTCGCCGAACACAGGTGTATTTGTGGCAGTGAAGCAGCAGACCGATTCGGGTACCATGGTCTTGTGTGCCGTAAATCCGAGGGAAAGATTGCAAGACATGAGGAGGTTAATGACATTATCAAGAGGAGCCTCACAACAGCTGGATGCCCAGCAGTAAGGGAGCCACCCCAACTATGCAGATCTGATGGCAGCCAGAAGAGTCCAGATGGTATCACCCTTCAAGCCTGGACAGATGGGAAGCAGGTGGTGTGGGACTATACATGTGCATCTACCTTGGCTGATACCTATCTCCAATACACCAGGGAGGAAGGAGGGGCAGCTGCCAGCTTCAGGGAGTCCCAAAAATCTAGAAAATATGGAGAACTTGCCCATCATTATATGTTTGTTCCCATAGGCTCAGAGACCCTTGGCTCATGGGGAAAGAGTGCATCTAAATTCCTTAAGGAGCTGGGAAAAAGACTGATCAGGGTAACTAGGGATCCCAAGGCAGCTAGTTTTCTGTTCCAGCGGCTCAGTGCGGCTGTTCAAAGGGGTAATGCCTGCTGTATTTTGGGCACACGCCCCACGTCTGACTTAACCTGTGTAAAAACTCAATGCACACAAAAGGCCCAAAAATCTGGAACTGCTTCCCTGAAGACTCCAGATGTTCCCTATCAGCCAACCACTTCAAAGTTACTGTTAATGTGATCCTCACAATTATCTCATCATATTTAGTATCATTTCATGCAACTAGCTTCATTCCTATCATATTTTTTATTATAAGTTTTATTTTAAATTACCGTCTACTTTATTGTAAGTATTATTCTCATTTACCCTGCTATGATTTTATTTGCCCATATACAGCAAGTCACTCTCACTGAATCAATTCTACTGTGAATATCATTAAAGTTTTATATACATACAAGTAAAATACTATTACATCACATCCTGTAATATTAATTACAGTCAATTACTTTTACTATTATTATGAACATTATTAGAAGTTCATTTTGAATTAATGGAATAATCCTAAAATAGAATATTCTAAGTGTTATAATTTTATCTACTTCATATACATTTGTTGAATATTCATGTAATCTATTTTATTCTGAAAATTATTACTGTCTCATATACATATGTAAAATACTACAGTCCTTCTTGATATAAGTTAAGTTTAAGCTTGTCTGAAATGTTCTGAATTACAAAGGAAATTTCCATGTGAGAGATATAAAGCCATCCAACTGTTGTACAATGTATCATGTGGAGATAAATTAACAGACTGACTGATTGATATTACAATGTCTACCTTGCCTCTCACTACCAGAAAAATTATATCAGTGTCTACCTTGCCTCTAACTATAATGAGAAGTTATATCAGTATCTACCTTGGCTCTCACTACCATGAGAAGTTATTTCAGTGTTTACCTTGCCTCTCACTACCAGAAAAAGCTACATCAGTATTTACCTTGCCTCTCATTACCATATGAAATTATATCAGTGTCTACCTTGGCTCTCACTACCATGAGAAGTTATATCAGTGTCTACCTTGCCTCTCACTACCAATGGAAGTAATATCAGTGTCTACCTTGCCTCTCACTACCATGAGGAGTTACATCAGTGTCTACCCTGCCTCTCACTACCATGAGAAATTATATCAATGTACAAATTTGGAACTTGGCAGATATGTAACTTAGGATTCTCTGTGTTTTATATAATTTATGATACTGTGTTTTATGTAGCTCAAGATATTGTGTATTTTATGCATAAAGGATCAAGAACATTCATGTTTCCTGAAGACACCTGCTGTCCCTGTTCACCTATCAGTAAAATAGGTTCCACTTAACATAATGCTAAACGGATCACCCATCACAAGACTCCCAGAGGGAAAATTCCTAGGAATCCACCTTGACAGTAGTCTCAAATTCCAGATACATATACAACAAATTTCCAAGAAAATCTCTAAGACAGTAGGTATACTATCAAAGATACAGTACTATGTTCCACAATCAGCTCTCCTTGCACTGTATCATTCACTCATCTACCCTTATCTCACATATGGAATTTGTGCATGGGGATCAACAACATTAAATCACCTAAGACCACTAATAACCCAGCAAAAGGCTGCAGTCAGAATGATAAATTCCCACTCTCAACAACACACTCCACCAATATTCAAAAGTCTAAATCTGCTCACCGTCAAGAATATCCATACTTACCATACCACGGGCGGGATTTGAACCCGCGGTCAGAGAGTCTCAAAACTCCAGACCGTCGCGTTAGCCACTGGACCAGCTAGCCACAATAAGATTCGTCCAACTACGTATATTTCTACACCATAGGAAGGTTAGCATAGGCACCACTGTGACCACAGATGCAAGTTTTTACAGACGAATCTCCAGCTAGCGTGGCAGTGATGAACTCTAGCTCAATTCCCCTCACTGCCATCAACATGACTCACGAAATCGTAATGACACGATTGCAAACAAACCATACCATGGGCGGGATTTGAACCCGCGGTCTGGAGTTTTGAGACTCTCTGACCACGGATTCAAATCCCGCCCGTGGTATGGTTTGTTTGCAATCATGTCATTACGATTTCGTGAGTCATATCCATACTTATTCATGTGCCTGCTACATACATAGAACACTACACTCAAACATAAACCTTCCACTCAAACTTCTCCTCACCAACCTTTACAGGACACACAACCACAACACAAGACACAGATCTCTTTTTGATGTACCCCATATCTCACTGTGTAAAAACTGTATGCACATAAAGGGACCCAAAATTTGGAATTCATTACCAGTAAATACTAAAGTAACCAGATCTGAACACCAATTTAAGGCTCTTCTCAAAAACCACCTACTCACCCTAAACTAAATACTCAATACTCAATATTTAACTTTACCCAAAAATTACCTAAATTTTAAAACTTCAAATCTAGATGCATAAAGTTCATATATTATTAATACTACATTGTAGTATAAATACCTACCCAAAACAATACTGCCTTACACCCAATTGTAACATTCTCATATTGTAAACTACTTTCAACAACTAACAATATTATATTCCCCTAACTTAATTTCAATATTCATTATTTAAACTATTATAATTAGAATAAAATTACTGTCTGCTATAAACAAAAAAGATGTACAACTTAAACAAACTATGATCAATTTCTGTAGTATTAAGTAGTCTGTAAGCCATTAAATTAAGTCTGCCCATAATGCCTAGGCATGATAGTGGCTCTTTGCACTGTACCTCATCATTGTAATTTCATAATCTCAATGTACTCTTACAAAGAAATAAAATTTATTTGTTTGTTTGTTTTTGTTTGTTTTATGGATGTTAGTTGACTGGTGTGGGTCACATCCTGGAGACGAAATTGACCTAATTTACCCGAAATGCCCTGCATAACAAGGGAGGCTTTCCACATATATAACAGTATGTCACTGATGTTAGCTAGGCCTGTATACCTTGTACATGTACTTGTAGAAATAAAGATTATTATTATTATTATTTATAAATGAAACACATACGAAACACTTGGGTATCTTTATTGCTGCCCGTCCTCTTAACTGCAGCCATTATGGCACTGTTGTAAAAACAGTCAAATGGGTAGTTATTGATGGAGCCTTGAACAGTTGAAATATGACTATTGTGCATTAGCTGTATACAGAAGCTGCCTATTTTCTGTTTGTGGGGTAGACTGTTTTATTGTCTTTTATATTAATAGATTTTCCAGTGTGATCTAACTTAACCTAACTTAGAAATATGCTGCAATTCCTATGTGAAAAAGTGAAATAGTTATTAGAAAGATGGGTTGCTTTATTGATACAATGTTTTGTTTGTGCAGCAGACTTCTTCAGTCAAATATAGAGATGATTATCATACTGGAGACTGCCATTATCACCATTATAAAAGTCACCACTGAATTCAGCTGAAAAAGCCTGAAATGCATCGCCAGTAAAGGCATCCGAGTGCTGCATGTCAACTTGTTAATACTGAATTCCATTAATGATGAAGCTTTCATCTTACCTCCTGGTCCAAGGACAGCACCGCCTGCTTCCTGTGAATGGCATTAAACCCAATGTATCCAGGCTTAATGGAGCGATCATGTTTGACTGTATAGATGTACTTCTTGCTATAATCCACAATAATTAATACATACCTGGAAAAAACAAAACATACATTCTACTCATAATTAGCACTACATTTATGTATACAATACATTTGGTATATGAAAAAATTCTATAAAAATTCTCATTCCCATCATATGGCAATGGTAATCAATACTCTTCTAACACAGCAAGTCAAGCAAATGCTGTTCTCAGCAAATTCAACAACTTCAACAACACATTAATATTCAGTTACAATGTTAGATCCCCAAGTGAAAACTATGATGACCTCCCAGCACTCCTAGATTCTATAAATGCTAAAATTTCTTATCATTTTTGCTGAAACCTGGCTTAACCCTTTGACTGTTTTGGTCGTATATATACGTCTCACGAGTCAGTGTTTTGGACGAATATATACTCAGTAACTCTAGCGGCTTCAAATCAAGCAGGAGAAAGCTGGTGGGCCCACATGTGAGAGAATGGGCCTGTGTGGTCAGTGTGCACCACATAAAAAAATCCTGCAGCACGCAGTGCATAATGAGAAAAAAAAAAGACTGTTTTTTTTAAATAAAATGCCGACTTTGAGGTGCATTTTTGTATAGTATTTATCGTTGTATTCTCGTTTTCATGGTCTCACGTGATAAAATGGAAAACATATTGCAGAAACAGAGATGATTTTGATTAGTTTCACGATGAAAACGACCTTGAAATTGAGCTCAAAATAACGGAAATGTTCGATTCTTACCAATGTTCAGGAGTAAGCAAATCACACCACACATCCAATACACGTCAACTGGGGAGTCTAATATTCTTTCACTGGTGCACTGATATTATTTATACCATTTTTACAATAATGCAGTAGTCTGCATAACAGTAAATTTTGTATTTTTTGTACGAATAAAAAATCAAAATAGAAAGCAATAGTAATATAAGAGGGGCCTAAAGATGTGACTAATGAACAGAGGATATGTTATTTTAGTGCCAAGAATGTCTACATTGTTTATTCTGGACCCTATTTTGAAACTGGCATCTTTTTTAATTTGCATGAAATTGGCCAAATTGCCAATTTCTGACCACTTTATTGTGTAGTTCAAATCGGTAAATGGGCGGTTTCTTGTATTCAATTGATAGAAAAAATAGAGTTCTAAAGAAATAGCTATGAGTTTGGTCAACTGGAACAACGGAATTGGCCAAAAACAGGGCTCAAAGTCGGCGAAATCGCCGATGCGTATATGTCGCCGAGACCACTAACTTCGCAGGAGCATAAGTCTGTGAGTTTTCAACCAAATTTCGTACTTTTGGTGTCATTACCATCAGGAAAAGATTCTCTATCATTTCATAAGAAAGTTTCAGAAAGGGTCTTGTGACAGTCAAAGGGTTAAACATTACACAGCACACATCTTTACCATACCTGGTTACACAGACATTCACAACTGCATACCTAATCCAACAGTGGAAGAGATGCCATCTACTACTATAATGAACTAACATGCAGTAACTCTACATGTATCAGTGATGAATATGCTGAATATATATTTGCTAACTTTGCAACCAAAAATAAAAAAAAAATAGTACAGTTGGAGCAGTCTACAGGCTACCTCATACTAATATTCCAACCTTCAGTAACAAATTAAAGAACCTAATAACCAATAAATGATTAAACAATCATTATCTAATACTTGCTGGTGTCTTCAACATTAACCTTGTTCAAGATGAATTTCTTAATAGCGTGTATAATTCCTTGCTTATTCCAGCTATGACAAATGCATCCACAGTTGACCACACCTGGACTAATATAACAGCTCCCCTCAAAGCAGGGATAATCAGACACTAAACACAAAGTTAGGGTTACTACCCCATCTTCATGAAACCAACATATTTAAGTTAACACTTGATACTAGTAAGATTTCATTTCATCTCCATGATGAAGCATCATTAAATAAATTCACTACAGCAGTAAGTTACATTGATTGGCATAGAATGTTTACTAATGAAAGGAACATTGATGAATGGGTCAATATTTTTCTACAAAAAATACAAAACCTCTATAACAGACATTCTCCTATTAAAAGTAAGATCACAGCAAAGAGACTAAATAGCCTGTGACTAACAAATAGCATCCTTGGGTCCAGTGATCAAAAAAACATAATGAAAAACAGTAGAGACTGAGATTAGTAACTCAAGAACAAACCTAAAGCTATGCATCAGTACTTACACATTAATAAGGAAGTCTAAACAACTATATTATGCTAGCAGGTTCAATTAAATAAAAGGTAAACATGAAGACAACCTGGATCATACAATCTCAAATCCTGGGCTCTCAGAAACTGACCAAAACTAGAGATATTGTCCTAACTAAACCCAATGAACCTTATGTCCAGCCTGCTGAAACAGCCAATATGTTAAATGAATTCTTCTCTACTATAGGATCAAGTCTAGCTAGCAAAATCGCAAGTAACAATGCTCATGAGAGTGACTACCTTGCTGGAAGTATTCCAAACTCCCTCTATCTGACTCCAATTTAGCCTACAGTGGTCTCCTTGAAAATAACTTCACTGAAAAATAAGTCAGGTAACCAAGCTTCACTAATCATTCCGTCACTCCTCCATGTGCTCCTCCGTTTTTCGTGGATTATCATGGCCTTTTTCCCATGCCAGAAGTGCAAAATTATGTAAGTGAACTTATAAATTATATCTCTCAAATGCTTGGAAGTAATCTAGAAATAAAATAGTACACACTGAGCCAGAAACAAGGAAAGAAGTGTGCGCGTAAGATAGTAGTGGTGCCATTCTTACACAAGGTCAACTATAAGCCTAAAGTGCAGTGTGAAAACATTAACTTAGTATGATCTCTGCAAGAGAAAAGAAAGCCTCCATGAAAATAGAGCATCATACATAGTGATTCAGTGTATATCACAGTACAGTGGACCCCCGCATAACGATGGCATCACATAGCGATTTTTCCGCATACCGCTTACTTTTATCGCAAAATTTTTGCCGCGCATACCGATTAAAAACCCGCTCACCGATTTTCGTCCGAGACGCGTCCAATGTGCCCTCAGCCAGCCTCACATGTGCCGCCCGTCCCATTGTTTACCAGCCAGCCTCCGCGGTAACATCCAAGCATACACTCGGAATATTTCGTATTATTACAGTGTTTTCGGTGCTGTTTCTGGAAAATAAGTGACCATGGGCCCCAAGAAAGCTTCTAGTGCCAACCCTGTGGTAAAAAGGGTGAGAATTAGTATGGAAATTAAGAAAGATTTTGAAGGGTTTGGGGCTAACCCTGAGAAGCCTATGCCAGTTGTGGAATCCATTGTGCCTACTTCAAAGATTAAGGAAATGTGTGCACAGTGGGTTGAACTGCAAACCTTTATGGATGAAAATCACCCTGACACAGCTGTTGCAAGCCGTGCTGGTGACTATTTCAATGACAATGTTGTGGCCCATTTTAGACAAATCGTAAAGGAACGGGAGGTACAGAGCTCTATGGACAGATTTGTTGTGCGACAGAGGTCCAGTGACTCTCAAGCTGGTCCTAGTGGCATTAAAAGAAGAAGGGAAGTAACCCCGGAAAAGGACTTGCTACCTCAAGTCGTAATGGAAGGGGATTCCCCTTCTAAACAGTAAGAAGATAATGCTCTCCCCTCCTCCCATCCCATCAATCATCACCAGATCTTCAATAAAAGTAAGTGTCATGTAAGTGTGCATGCCTTTTTCAGTTTGTGTGTATTAAAATTAATATTTCATGTGGTAAAAAAAATTTTTTTTCATACTTTTGGGTGTCTTGCACGGATTAATTTTATTTCCATTATTTCTTATGGGGAAAATTCATTCACATAACGATTATTTCGCATAACAATTACCCCTCTTGCACGGATTAAAATCGTTAACCGGGGGTCCACTGTAGTACACAGTGTACAGATAAGATACCAAAATAAGTGCTGTGGTAAATAAGAGTGTATTCTCTTGAAATAGGCCTAGTGGATACCAGTTGTGTATTCAGTTGCCAGGGGTCACCAGGCTCCTACCATGTGAGACAGTTGTTTAAAAATTTATACCTACAGCTAGTCCTACATATGTATAGTGATACCAGGAGTACAATACAATGGAAACACGAAAGGGTGAACAAATCTTGTAGAACTAGTATTAAAAGAATGTACAGGTCATGGAAATAAAGAAAAAAAAAAAAGCAATTGCCAGTGAATGCAATATACACAACAGTAAACCCAGTACACACTACAAAGAGCATTTCCTTTAGTAAATCCTCACACCAGTGCCACAGCTAAAAAGAGTGTCACCATAGTACAGCCTCTCCTCACCTAGAAACGTACTCGTTTACTGACGCCTCGGACTTATGACAGGCTCTCTGACCAGTATTTATACCTAAATAATGCATAGTAGAGATGATATCCTCTATTCTGTTTATTTTAATTTACAGTGAAACCTCCATTTGCGAGCGCATCCATGTGCGAGTTTTTCCAAATACGAGCAGTCGATCGGTTGATTTTTTGCTTCCATACGTGAGCGAAAATTCCACAAGCGAGCGGGCCTCAAAGGAGGTTCCTTGACACAGGTGAGGGGCTCTTGCTCTTGATCTAGAGAATTGGATCTCATTTGTTTGTTGGGCTATTTTGTTGAAACTTGGGCAATGTATGATGGAAAGATGCTTCTTAACGGACACCAAAAATGAAAGAAATCGGACCATAAATAATGGAGTTCACTTCTCATCAATTAGCCACCCCTTAGTGGTATTTTCGTATGGTTTTTATGCTTGTATTCTCACTTTTTTGGTCTCATTTGATAGAATGGAAAATATATTACAGAAATAGATATGATTTTGAATGGTTTCATGGCGAGAACTACCTTGAAAATGAGCTCAAAGTAGCAGAAATGTTCTATTCTTGCCAATGTTAAAGAGTAAACAAATGACATCACTTCCATTCCAATATGCAGTTATGAATGGATTAACATTATTTATACAATTACTGCAATAATGCAGTAGTCTGCATAACAGTAAATCTTCTATTTTTTGTGTGAATAAAAATTCCAAATTATTTATATTGTAATAATAATAAGAAGAATAAGAATAATACATATAATAATAATAGTATAATAATATAATAATAATAATAATAATAATAATAATAATAATAATAATAATAATAATAATAATAATAATAATAATAATAATAATAATAATAATAATAATAAAACATATACATGTAATAACATGTATAATAATAGTGTACTACAGGTCCGCCATCACAAATCCGGCAATCAGTTATTCGGTTCCTTCAGTTATTCGGCACTAATTTTGGCTAACATAATTTCAAATTTCCAGGGTCGCCACACCAACCTGCTGGTACTGTTTGGTGGCGCTACTTGCTGCGTAAGTCATTCAAATTTCTTTTTCTCCATTTATTGTTATAACCTCCTTACTTTTAGCCCTAGCCATGGTTCCAACGAATAAAAGAAATGCTTCTCATTATGTAAAGCACCGACACAGTACATTATCCATTAAAGATAAGGTGGCTTTGAAGCCACTGTCGGTTGCCATGAGCTCAGTCTCATGATGCAGGAGAATATGCTTTATTATTATGCTAATATCAACACTACAGCTTATTTGCCTATCACAATTGATCTAATATGACATAATAAACAATATAAATAACATAAAACATGTTAAATACTCCAGAATAAATAATATTTGGCATTACATCGAGCAGTTCGACGGAGGTATGAAGAGGATATGGGATACAAGTACGTACCAAGGAAAATTCTCAGGTCTCTACCTCGATGGCAACTTTAAACTGAACACCCACATTCAGCATATAAAGAAAGGTATCCAAATCAGTCAGCATCCTTTCCAAAATTTGTTATTATATACCTCAAACAGAACTACTTACATTATACAGCCTCTCCTCACTTAACCCTTAAACTGCTCAAATGTAGATCTACGTTCACGTGCATAGCGCTCTGACCTTGACTTTCCTTATTTGAAAGCATGTAAAAAAAAAGTAGATCTACGTTCAGAGCCCCCCGCATGTGGACGTAGATCTACATTTGAACAGTTTAAGGGTTAATGATGGAAGTCCGTTTCAAAGACCATGTCAGTAAATGAACTCGTCGCTAAATGAGGAGCATACTATAATGGTAGTGGGTTTGTGTCAACCATCTTTGATACTGTTTTAATGTCACATTTGCACCATTTATAACATATCTGGTATATTTTTAAATGGTTATACAACAGTGTACTGTATATTTCAATAAACAGAATAGAGGAAATCAGCTCTAATATACATTATCTAGGTATACATACTGGTCAGAGAGCCTGTTGTAAGTCCTGTCTACACAATCTACTGCCAGACAACACTCCCCCACTCTTCAAAATGTTAAACTTACTTAATATACAGTACATAAAATTCACTCATACTTCTGTGCTTACTACATATACAGGGCAATCAATAGAAACAAAAATCTCTATGATATTCCCCCATGTCTGACTCAACCTGTGTAAAAACTCAATACACATAAAAGGACCTAAAATCTGGAACTGCTTCCCTGAAGACTCCAGATGTTCCCTATCAGCCAACCACTTCGTAGTCACTGTTAATGTGATCCTCACAACAATTATCTCATCATATTTAGTATCACTTCATGTAACTAGTTTCAGTCATATCAGAATTTTTATTAGAATTTTAATTTTGAATTACTGACTACTTTAAATACTGTATAATGTAAGTATTGTTATTCTGATTTATCTTGTTAAGAATGCTATCTGACCAGATATGTACACTGTACTGTTCTTATTTAATTAACTCTACGGTGAATATCATTAAAGTCTTACATACTATCTCATCACAATCTTTAATAATACAGTTAACTGATTTCACTCTTATTGTAATCTATATTAGAATTTCATTCTGAATTAAGAGAATAATCTTAATATAGTATAGTAGGGTGCAAATATATTGTGAATATCTCATAATACATCTTAGTCTCTAGCTTAATAAAGGTAGTTAGGGTTCTTTTCTTTTCAGAAGAGTTTGCTACCATCTTCTGGCAACCATCCAGCTGTGGTGTTACCCTGCAACTCTCATCAGTGCTACAATAGCTGTTGTTCTGCAAGGCTATTCCTGCAAGCTTGCTCTGTGAGTGAATGTAGCTTTGCCAAATTCTCCCCTTCAATTCATGATTTATTTGAAATTCATAATGGATGTTACACCTAAGAAGCATGCATGTATTGTAGCATTTAGAAAACATGTTAATTTGAGTATCAGACAGATCACCAAAAAATATGAAGCTAGCAAAGTCAATTGTTGGTCGGATTCCAAAGAGAGCTAACGACACTGGTGATTGTGTCACATTGATACAAGTCACATTCTTTGACACCATACCATGAAATACATGATGAAGCAAACGTGACAAAACACTTACTTGACATTAAGAGGGAAGTCGTTCTCATTAACAATGATACAGTTGGTGTATGAAAGTTCTTCATGGGGACACTTGGCAACCTTCATCATCTGCAAAATGATGTAGTGCAAATACAGTATTAGTTTAGTATGAATCCAGTAGAGGTTTAGTGGTGATACAGGAATGGTTTACTGGTGATACAGTATTAGTTCAGTAGTGATATAGTAATGGTTTAGTGGAGATACACTAATGGTTGAATGGTGATACACTAATGGTTTAATGGTGATGCACTAATGTTTTAGTGGTGATAGAGTAATGCTTTTATTGAAAAATGGTAATGTTTTAATGGTGATACATAATATTTTTAACCCTTAAACTGTAGAAATGTAGATCTACGTTCAAGTGCATAGCACTCCGAACATAGATCTATGTATTTTATATGCTTTCAAATGTAAAAATGTAGTTCTACGTTCGGAGCGCTACGAACGTGAACGTAGGTCTACATTTGGACAGTTTAAGGGTTAAAGAAAAACAGTAATATTTTAATGGTGATACAATAATGTTTTTAAAGAAAAACAATAATATTTTAATGGTGATACGGGTCCACTATCACAAATCCGGCATCATTGGGACCTGTAGTGTGCTGGATTACTGAGTTTGCCAGATTACAGAGTGGTTAGGTTAGAATACACTTAATAAAATTAACTAACTTGACTTACACAAGAAAGTTCATTGAACATTGGCAAAAATCGAACATTTCCGCTACTCTGAGCACAATTTCAAGGTACTTTTCATTGTGAAACCAATCAAAATCATATCTATTTCTGCAATATATCTTCCATTCTATCAAATGAGACCAAAAGAAAGAGAATACAACCATAAAAACCATATGAAAATATACCTCAAAGAGGCAGCTAATGGCGGAGAAGTGAACTCCCTTATTTATCTTCATTGATTTTTTATTTTTGGTGTACGTTAAGAAGCATCTTTCCATAACACATTGCCCAAGTTTCAATAAGATAGATCAACAAACAACTGAGAAAAAAAATATATATACCAAAAATCATATATGGCAAGCCAAAGCCAGGTACTGGAAATAAGTCACTTTGTCTGACTTTTCTGGGTTATCCTAGGTTCTCTATACATACACTGCTATGTATGATAATCTATGTAACTATATTTGTGTACACCTGAATACACTTACTTATTTACTTACTTCTGTTCTGTAGACTGAGTACAAGAAGCTGCCCATTCACCTATTTCAACTACCCAATAAAGTGGTCAGAAATTGGCAATTTGGCCAATTTCACACAAATTTCAACAAATGCCAATTTCAAAATAGGGTCCAGAATAAACAATGCAGACATTCCTGGCACTAAAATAACATTTTCTCTGTTCATTAGTCATGGCTCCAGGCCCCTCTTATATTACTCTTGCTTATCATTTGGAATTTTTATTCACACAAAAAATAGAAGATTTACTGTTATGCAGACTACTGCATTATTGTAATAATTGTATAAATAATGTTAACCCATTCATGACTGCATATTGGAATTTGGACTGGCAGGCGCACACGTACAGTAGGGCCCCACTTTACGGCTTTTCAATTTATGGCGTTCCGCTAATACGTTCATTTCAAATTATGACCAAAACTCTCTATATGGCTCCCCCACCTGACTTTCTAATATGGTCACCGCACCCCACCCGGTTTGTTTACATTCTCTGTGAGCTCCATAAGCACTACGTCTCTCCATTATGTCTGGAAACCCCAAAATTTCAAGTGTTTTTAAAGTTATTTCATATTTTATATATACATACTCTGATAATTATGCTTATGTATACCTGTACCTAAATAAGCTTACACACTGTGCTGGCGTGCACGTACACATTAAAATCAGTACGAGGGTCTTATGTCTCGAGAGCCATATTAGTAATGATAATAATAATACTCAATAATAATCACCGAGTCTCATTAAATGTCATATAATACATTAATATACACAATTTCATTAATCCACCAATGATATTTTTTTCAAAATTATATAATAAACATGATACATACCATATAAAGATGATAAATACACCCCAGAGTAGAATAAATAAATATAAATATGAGACGTGGTAGCCAGACAACTTGTACGAGTGGCGGCAAGAATGATGTTTTCTCTAGTCCAACATAAGAGAAAATGTGCTGCTGGGTGTAACTGTAGAAAATTATTCCTTTTGTATACCTTCACTCAGAGCGTCATTTCTTCTAAAAATGGTGTTACATGAGAATGGGAGTGTTCCTCTATTTATTCTACTGAATCAAAGAAGAGACAACTTGTACACAATGTAACTTGTACACAAACCAGACATGTACACCTGGTTTGTTTACAAAACTTGCATTCGCCTGGTTTGTTTACATAACTCCGCAAGTGTCCTCTCTCATGTACTCATTCTCTCTCTCTCTCTCTCTCTCTCTCTCTCTCTCTCTCTCTCTCTCTCTCTCTCTCTCTCTCTCTCTCTCTCTCTCATTTATTCGTTTTATCTCGTTTACTCACCTCTAACCCAACATTAAGGTACAAATATTTTAAGGTAAGTAATGAGTGAGCTGTGTATGCATTTTACCACTCTGGGATGCTTAAATGTCATAGAATATTGTGTGTGGGTGGGTTAGCCTGGTATGGTAGCCTAGGTGGCTACCATACATACCACACTTGATTTCTTAAAATAAATACTACTCGTCTCACCCTAGATTAAGACTACAAATATTTCAAGGTAAGTAATGAGTGTACTATAGGTGTATTTTACTTTTTTATTGTTTTTAATGCCTAGTTCTATTGCTAACTTAATATATGCTTGTGTAAACTTGTTAGCTAGTATTTATATGCATTTATAAGTGGGAAAAAAGTGTTCCACTTTACGGCGATTTCCGCTTTACGGTGGTAGCCTGGAACCTAACCTGCCATATAAGTGGGGCCCTGCTGTATTAGACAGTGACTTCATTTGTTTACTCTTAAACACTGCTAAAGAATCAAACATTTCCACTACTTTGAGCTCAATTTCAAGGTACTTTTCATTGTGAAACCAATCAAAAGCATATCTATTTCTGTAATACAGTGGAACCTCAAATTTCGAATGTATCGCTTATCGAACTATTCAAAAATAGAACCATTTTTTCGAACCAACTTTGTCCCTATTATCGAACTCGCCCCTATTTTTGAACCGCTGCATACCAGACCTGTCCGGCAGCCCACTCTGTCCATGTCCTCATGCAGGTGCCGTGAGCCAGTCTGGTTTTGTTGATGCTTGAGTGAACACTAACCTGCGCTCTCATTCAAACATTTTATGATTATTTCATTGTGTTTAGTGCTTGTGGACTGTGAAATAAGCTACAATGAGCCCAAAGAAACTTGCTAGTGGTACCCCTTTGGTAAAGAGAGTGAGAAACACCATAGATGTGACGAAGGAAATAATACAGAAGTGGAATGATGTCCAAATGTTTGTGGAGAAGTACCACCCTAAGCAAGCTGAAACAAGCCATCTTTGCAACAAGTTCAGTGACAGAACCATGTCCCATTTTAGGGAAATCTTAAAGAGGCACCAGAATTAGAGAACTGTGGACAGATATTTTGTGAGACAGGGGTCCAGTGACTCTCAAGCTGGTCCTAGTGGCATTAAAAGACAGAGAAGGGAAGTAACCCCAGAGAGGGCTTCACCTGAAGTCCTCATGGAGGAGGATTCTCCTTCCAAACACTAACCCCAACTCCCTCTCTCCTCCTCCCTATCTTCCAGATGCCATCACCAGTCTTCAATAAAGGTAAGTAAAGTGTTATTTTACATGTTTATTTATATTTATTAATACATAATTGAACACTATATTTGTTGTATGTAAAACAATAATTAATCTCTATAAAATGTATTTTTTTGTGAATATTTTTGGGCTTCTGGAACAGATTAATTGTATTTCCATTATTTCTTATGGGAAATATTGCTTCGCTTTTCAGACTTTTCGAATTTAGAACAAACTCCTGGAACGGATTAAGTTCGATATTTGAGGCTCCACTGTATATCTGCCATTCTATCAAATAAGACAAAAAAAACGAGAATACAACCATAAAAACCATATAAAAATATACCGGTATGGGGAGGTAAACCCTTTCAGGGTTTCTGACGTACTAGTACGGCTTACGCACCAGGGTTAATGACGTACTAGTACGCCTAAATTCTAGCACCCTCAAATCTAGCAAGAGAAAGCTGGTAGGCCTACATATGAAAGAATGGGTCTATGTGGTCAGTGTGCGCAGTATAAAAAAAAATCCTGCAGCACACAGTGCGTAATGAGAGAAAAAAAAAACTTTGACCGTGTTTTTGGTTTAAAACAGCAACTTTGCACTGTATTTTCGTAAGGTATTTATGGTTGTATACTAGTTTTCCTGGTCTCATTTTATAGAATGGAAGACATATTACAGAAATTGAGACGATTTTGATTGGTTTCACAATGAAAAGTACCTTGTAATTGAGGTCAAAGTAGCAGAAATGTTCAATTTTTGCCAAAGCTCAAAGGTAAACAAATCATGCCATGCATCCAATACACATCAACTGGTGAGTCTAATATTCTTTCACAAGTGCGCTGATATTATTTATACTATTTCTACACTAATGCAGTAGTCTGCATAACAGTAAATCTTCTACTTTTTGTGAGAATAAAAATTCAAAGTGGAAAGCAAAAGAAATGTAAGAGGGGTTCTGGGGACATGACTAATGAGCAGAGGAAATATTATTTTAGTGCCAGGAATGTCTTTCTTGTTTATTCTGGACCCTATTTGGAAACTGGCATCTTTTGAAATTTGTGTGAAATTAGCAAAATTGCTAATTTCTGACCACTTTATTGGATAGTTGAAATCGGTAAATGGGTGGTTTCTTGTACTCGTTCGATAGAAAAAATGGAGTTCTAGTGAAATAGTTACGATTTTTGTCGACTAGTACACTGGAATTGGCCAAAAATAGGGCTCAAAGTGGGCAAAATCGCCGATGCATAAACATCGATGAGACAGCTAACTTCGCGAGAGCATAATTCCGCAAGTCTTCCATCAAATTTCATACTTTTGGTGTCATTATGATCAGG